TCTGAGGAGCATCATCACTTTGAATCAATCACAGGAGAGGAACATATCCTCGTTGCTTTGCTTCAGCTTCAATTCATTGGGATCAGACAGCAAACTGCTTTTTAACAGATCCCCTCAAATTTCAGAAGACAAACAAGGTTTGTCCCTAATTTTATCTTTAAATGCTTCTTTATGAATAAGTAAAAAAAATAATCAATTCAACAAAAAATGTATAACTGAATGACTGTAACAAGTCTATCTTAATTTACAGACAGGGTAGTAGATCTCAGACTTCCATACCAGTACTGAATCCTCTCTGATTAACTTTTGTCAAGAATACATTAAAGAGGAAACCAAAACTCAGTTGTTGTAAAGCTTATGTTAGTGTCTTACTGAATGAATGCCTCTAACATACATTTTTGGTGGTATTTTGCTATACTTTTTTACAGTTCCTCCAAAGATCCTGCCATCTTCTAGTTGCACCAAAACTGCTAATCAGATCAACTGTTCCTGTGAAATCATGGGAAACCCTCCCATGTTGCAGTGGATTTTTAATGGGCAACCTATCAACAAATCTGGGAAGGATTTTACTATCAGGGACTCTAAGAATGGCACATACCTGAGGAGCATCATCACTATGAATCAGTCACAGGAGAGGAACATATCCTCGTTGCTTTGCTTCAGCTTCAATCCATTGGGATCAGACAGCAAACAGCTTTTTATCAGATCCTCTCAGATTTCAGGAGATACACAAGGTTTTTTTTTTATTTCAATTATTAACTGTGTATGTGTGTGTGTATATATATATATATATATATATATATATATATATATATATATATAATCTCAGAATATGTAAGAAAGTATCCTCTGTAATTTAATAACCTAATCTACCTAAATAACATACCAATACTGATCACTTCTCATTCCTTAGTTGCTTTTCTCCTTAATATGCATCAATTAATGCATGCTAATCAGAATTAAGTATTCTCTTGCATGAAGGAGTGAAATTGAAAACAAAAGCCAAAGGATTTTTCATGAATCAAAAATGTTATTTATCACAATGGTTTCGAAGCGGGTTCAAACATGACAGCATTTTGGAAACTTTACAGGGAATATTCCAAGGTGGAATTGAATATTTACTTCTGTTTTTTTTTTTACAGTGCCTCCAAAGATCCTGCCATTCTCTAGTTGCACCAAAACTGCAAATCACATCAACTGCTCCTGTGAAACCATTGGAAACCCTCCCATTTTGCTGTGGATTTTTAATGGGAAACCTGTCAACCAATCTGGGAAGGATTTTGTTATTAGTGCTATCAGTGACTCTAAGAACAACACATATCTGAGGAGCATCATCACTTTGAATGAATCACAGACGAGAAACATGTCATCTTTGCTCTGCTTAAGCTTCAATTCATTGGGATCAGACAGTAAACAGCTTTTTATCAGACCGCTCCAGAATGCAGCAGAACTGCAAGGTTTGCAAATCAATGTTTCCTCTGTTTTTAATTGAATAATGTATTTTGTCCATTATTTGTTTAAAACTGAAAGAGCAACAGTGATCAATGAGTCAAAAGAAAACATTTTTTTTATTTATTGCAATAAGACAGAACTGGATTTTTATGTAGTTGCATGGGACAATTGAATTGGAAAATCTTTTCAAACTAGATATTTTATCTAAAAAATGTCTTCCTCACCTGCATCTTCATTTATTTTTATAGAGAATGCTGAGTCCAGCTTAAGCTTTCTGTTTTAGAGTGAACAATTTCTGTCTTGGTTAGAACAAACCTTTTGTCAAGCTCAGAGATTGATCCTGGCAGGATCTGAACTACACATGTTTTAACATCCTGTGGCAGCAAATAATTTTAAGAGAGCATTTTGAATATTCCAGTTAGAAAAAAATGGTAAAGAAATTGATCTATACTTTCAATCGATCAACCTCTCCAATCAATCCCACTAGCACAGTGTATGTTGGGTAACAACAGATCTGAGATTTTTCTGTCAGAAATGCTTGTTTTGAATGTTTTTTATATAATTGTATATGGTTAATATTGATACAAAAAGGGTTGGTAAGTTATGGCCAACATTTTCAATCTAAGGGTTTTAATATCCATTTTATCTTGCATTTCAGATAAAAAGCAGACGCCTTTGCTCATCGGCACAACTGTCATCTTACTAGTTCTAGTATGTGTGTTGCTGTTTGTTATCAGGTAGGTTAGTGGTTAAAAATGAACCAATCTATTGTATTCTAGGCTGACTGACAAGCACTTCAAGGATAGTATTTAAGGTTGCAAAAAAAAAAAAATTCTACTTTAGCGTAACAGCATAGCGAATAAGTACTTTAATTGCGAAGTTCTGGTGTTTAGATATTTGTCTTCTATGTCTGTCTTCAGTTAATAAACATGCATATTAATATCGGATTGCAATTTACAGGTTTCAGAAGTCTCACCGTTTCTGGGAAATTAAAACACTTGAAAGAAAAAGAACAAAGGTAAATTGTCTTTAGGTTTTGTCATATTGCTTCCTTTTATAATCATTTTTAAACTTGGATTTTTGTTAATTTTAGGTACAAAACACAGCTGAAGACATTGATTCCAGCACAATTGAGCTGAAAGATAAAGGAATTGCCCATTCAGGTTATGGTGGAGCTGAATAAAGATGTTAGTTTAATGATTTATTTTTGCTTTTACTAAACACATTAATGATGTGAAATGATGTAGTTTCCATAACACCTTTGCTGATAAAGTGGTTTGATTTGATTTTTGTAATAGTGTTTATACAATAATATTTCTGCTTAAAGGATTTGAGAATTCTTTTTCATACACTTGTTCTTAAAGTTAGCCATGATACAATGTTGCTAAATGTTACTTTTGGAAGAATGTTACTCCAAAAAAAAAAAAAAAAAAAAAAAATTATAAAAATCATTAAAGGAAAAAGTTTATAAACATTTCTATGTTTCATGCATAGTACTTTAAAAATAGTACTTACTTTAATGCTTCTCCAGCTTAATGTTTCACTTGTTGTTGGACTTTTATACTTTATATTTAATTACTTTAACACAATTGTTTCAGGTCCTATCCTGCTAGCATGAAACAATTGTGTTAAAGTAACTAAATATCCATAAGCAGATGCGGAAAATGCATGAAGTATTTTGTTTCACTTACCCAGCTAATCTGGAAAGCAAGATTGATAAGTGTAGCACTCAGGTTTAGTCCTACACATTACTAATCTGGGACTCCTTAGATCGAATATGTCTGGGGGAGAGGAGGGGCATGCAAACTAATTAGGTGAAGTGACACCTAGTAACTGTCTACCAAAGTTTTAGCCAATCATAGTAACAATTGAAAGTATCAGACATCATGAGAAATAAAAGTAAGCTTACTGGTCTTTTTTTAACGATGAAAATCATAAACTCTAACAGATATATCAGCACCTTCCTTTTCCACTGCCATGATTATTTTGTTTCAGCTGCAGAGGTGGAGCTATAACTTTTTTGTAGGGGAAATCAGAAAGGGGAAAAGGCTATCCAGACCTGAGAATTGATTTGTTTCTCAATCATTTGTAATTTGTGTACGTAATTTGCAATTTATAAACAATAACAAATGGTATATAAATACATTGAAATGAATTGTTTTAGTCTCCTATGCACACTGTTTGGGCACTGTATTGTTTGTTATAAAAAATCACTTGTATTTCAGCTTTCGCATTAGGTTGTATAGAAAATATTTTTATAGTTTGATAATATTTTGGCAGAGAGGGAATTAAGTTTGAAAGAAGTTCAGTTCCAATAGGCACAAAGGACAGCCCTGAGTCCTCAGAATCATTCTTGGGAACACATGTAGTTTAATATCGCAGCCTTGTGTAAAGCACATCAGACTTCGGCCTCTTTGTATTTTTAGACAAAACGGAGATTAAAACACTGTTTTACAACCAATGCATGCGTTGACATCTCCATCGTTCGAGCGTGGAACAATAGTAAAAAAGTGGACCGACCCCAGAGAAAATCCAGCTCTAGGCCAATCTTAACGAGAAGAAACCATTTTGAATCTGATAACTAGTATTACCATCTAATTGAATAATCTCTTAAACCAGTCTGAGTCTTTCTATATGTGACCTGCAAAGGGGGGGACTTTTTAAGGAAGATGCACTATAACACAGAATAGACTACAATTTTATTAAACAATTTACATAAAAAACATTTCTTTTGTTGAAACATGGCTTCAGGCCTTCTACTCGGTCCATGGAAAGAAAAGGGTGTTACGTCGAGCTGCGTTTCCCCATCAGATGCGGTTTCCCCTGCATCTCCACACCGCGCAGGTGGCATCATTCACCGTGCAAGCGACAGGAAACGTGCATGCTCCCTAAAGGCGCGAAACAGTCGTTCTGTGTTCTCACCACACGGGAACTACGGAGAGCATGAGCGATCAAATGTTAGCCTTTATGGAGAAAGGGAGAAATCGAGATAGATGTTGCTGTAGCTATAACAACCCAAAACAGAGCATTTCAGAATTAGACATCCCCAGTTATTAATTGCATACACTCACCAGATCTGAACGCCCTGTTAAACTTTACACCCATGATTAGAAATAATGCATCAGATGTATATGGTTGAAAGACTGCAAAATTAATGCAAATGGTTTGTAAATAAAATGAAAGGACAGATACCAGAAATAAAAGAATTAATGAAACAAAAAGAGAATTTGGCTCAAATAAAAGAATTTCTGGAAAGGTTGTAAAAGCTGTGTTAATGTGCTTATACTGCTCATGATCAATTGTTGCTTCTACTGCCACAGGAAGAAGTTGAGAAACAAGTTGAATTGTTGTCAAGCATTATGAAATACACAGAAACTTTTCAAAATGAAAAAAAAAAAATGGATAAAGGACACCGAACAACACAACAGTTTACATGAACAACAGGATATAACTGAAACAAATAAATCCAGGCATATTGTGGAGCAAAGAGGAACAAATGGAGTTTTATTAAACATTTGTGATATAAATGGAGATGACATTAAACCAAGTGACAGTATTTCAAAGAGAAACTACAACTGGATAGTGAAATTGCTGAAAGAATGGAAGAATTAAAAGTACTCAAAAATCGAAGCACAACAAGTGGAAAAGGATCGAAAGCATCAGATGGAATGAACTATTATTTGAAAAAAGTGAAATCTCAACAGCAATTTAATGTGAATGCAGATGAATTCTATCCATCAGTACGTGCAAAACAAAGAACCAGATTGGAGGATGAAAAACAATCTGTGAAACACACTGTGAAGGAGAGCATGACAAAGGTCCTCAATTTTCTGTGTTTCATAAGGAACAAGTCAATAACCAATATATTAATCAAGAACGTGGTGCAAACATGAGAAGCTGCTGTAATGTAATGTAATTGGACATGCCTTCTAATATGCTGAATATCATAAAGAAGCTGCTATACAAACAGAGACAGATGGACAACTAAAGAATGTGAGCTACAGGAATGTCAAGGAAAAAGAGTCTTGCAGAGTCCCTTGAAAAACAGGTCAAAATTCTGACAGATCCGGTCTTTGGCAATATACAAGATTCTCTAAAGATAACAAAGTATCATACAAGCCAAAGTTAATGCCTCGGTCCAAAGGAGCCAGCTTTGAACCAGTGGAGAACAAATCTCAGGAAGGAAGAGAACAAAATCAGAATAAATGGGATGAATTTATGTATTTTCTGTGGAGCACTGTTGGGGAAAATAGCACTTGAGAAGATTGATTTCTTAAAGTAAAATGGCATATGCTTTGGCTGTTTGTGTATAGGACACATTAGTAAGCACTGCCGTAGTGTTAATTTTGTTAACGGAAACTAGACAAAAATATTTTCGTCAACGCACATTTTTCACCGAACTAAAACTAGATGAGACGAGATTAAAATCCCCACTTATAAACAATAACTGGGAGTAAATCAGAAATAATTTTCGTAGACTAATAAAGACAAGACGAAAATGCAGTTCGGTAAATAAAGACTGGGCTAAAATCTATGGACATTTTAGTTCACGAACAAAGAAGAGAGGAAAATTATATATTATATGAGATGGTTTTGTCAAATCCTGTCTCCTCCTCCGTGTCAGCTCTTCCGCCACACGCCCACTTTCAAACCTGGAGCGGGGCGGGCACAGAGTAGCCTACATAACTCATGGAGCAGACAGGAGCTAGATTCACGGCGAGGTGGCGACAGGTTAAAAGCGTAACATGCTTTGCACGGGGCTTGGGAGAAAGAGGAGACGTGATGTATGGACACATTTTCGCTTCATTGAAGGGGAGAAAAAAAACAAATGCTTGATTTTAGTCGAAGGGAAGGAATGTGGCCACATGGTAGCTGGAAAAAACACAACAAACCTGAAGAGACATCGCAGTTCACCACAAAGACATTACGGTAAGTTAACAGAAAGATTGGTGGTGGTTGTTTATAATGTAACATTAAATCAACGGCTATAATGTCCAAATGATAAATTAACTGATGTTGGCTAACTTTCATAGCATTTAGTATCCAGGCTGGCTACGTTACTTTAGCTTCTTAGCACGTAGCGACCGTAGCCACTTGTTGATAGAATTGTATGTGAAGTTAAATTAATGCTAACTTAGATATGTTATACTGGCCGGGTAACTATAGTTTCATTTAAATTGCAAGTTTGATTAAAGCAGACAAACGCTTTAGGTAATCTAGGAGCTGCAAGTGAACTATAGTTAACACAAAACACCTCGGCAGCTACACATGTATGCTAAATGCTAAAACGAACTGAAACAATTTATCAGGATAAGACAAAATAAAAATAATACACCACGCATAATTCAGAACAACTTTAATCTAGAATTTTATAAAATAGCCATTGCTGGGGGAACCACTACAGGGATTGGGATGCAAACTCCCAATGTCTTTATTTGGTGACATAAAATGCTGCTCTTTTTATCTGCACATTACTTTTACAAGGACATTTGATTTGCATCAATATTAATACAACCAAAATGCATGCACACATAAAAATGTCTGCAATTTATTCCTGCATAAAGTGATAGTTAGGTTGTTTGTATGAGTTTGAAATGGATTGTCAAATGTAGTTTTTACAGAGACTTAGTTTTTGTTAAGGAAAAAAACAGACCTATATGCTACTTATACACTTGGAATTCCTGTTATGTTGTGCATCTATCCTGACATAGTTTTAATTTCTGTTCCAGATTTAAGATACACCACCACCAACAACCTACCAGCCACCCAGAAACAAAGACAGGCCAGCTATACAAGCTTCCTCACTTGCCCACTCCAAATACAAAGCTGACTCTCATGACCAACATTTAAAAGAGGAAGCCATAGCACTGTGGATAGGCCGAATAGGCCTCCCTTCACGGACTGTGGAAAGTGAGGATTTTGTCAAGATGATGGATCAGATTGATAAAAGGCTCACTGTTCCAAAAAAAACTAAAATTGAAAACATTGTGGACAAAGTATACCTGTCAGAAAAGGACAAATTCAAACAAAGACTGTCCGTGGCATGCAGAATAAGCATTGGCTTAGATATTTGGATCAAAAAGGGTCTCACAGCTTCCTACCTTGCAATTAGCGCTTGTTATTTTAAGTCAGACGACAATAAGGCAAAACACATACTCCTGAGCCTAAAGCAAATGGCTCACCCACACACTGCTCATGCTATCGCGACTCTGTTGGAGGAGTGCACAACAGAATGGGGAATCCCAAAAGAAAAAGCCCTTACTATCATCACAGATAATGGGAGCAACATGGTTGCTGCTTTTCGTCGCAACAGTGAGGAGGACAACGAATCCAGCTTTGAGGAGGACAGTCCCCAGGATAGTGA